ATGAGATTATGTCAAATTCCTGTTTATTCAAATAACTGTTTTTTTTATATATTACATGTGAAATTATTCGTTTTGATTAACAATATTCATATCACATGTAATTTTTGAGTGATAGTCACTATAACAAGAGTGTGTTCATTGCTAAGTAATTTCCAAGAAATGATTAACATCGAGGCTAATTCTTATGCAGCAAAGTGAAGTGTGGTGATATTTCTTTAGTGATTTTCAAAATAAAGGAATCATTGCACACACACACCAGTTTTTCTAAAAATATATGTGTAGTGTCACAGCTAATGTGTGTTACTCTTATAGTGATCACAGAAGGGAGGTATCCTGGTAAATCAGAAAAATGGTGATTTAATTTTATCTGTGAAAAATATGAATTATTGTATTTTAACCATTAAATTTTGTAGGTAGTTTTANAGGGAGGTATCCTGGTAAATCAGAAAAATGGTGATTTAATTTTATCTGTGAAAAATATGAATTATTGTATTTTAACCATTAAATTTTATAGGTAGCTTTACTGAAAACATTCACAAGACAAAACTCGTCCACTAGGGATCACCTAGGGGTTTAACAACTTGTTACATATGCTAAATGCAATCGTGAATTCTACGAAAGTGATTTTGTTTTGTTATTTTTTTTTATTACTAAGGACTAGTAATATTTAGGTTGGGGCTGTGATTAACCCAAATTAGTGCTTAATTGAATTAGGTTCATAAGTCAATTGTGTTAGTTAAAAGAGTTAAAACGGTCAAGATATACGAAACTAGGGTTAGTGCGTAAATTAGGGTTAAAGCGTTAATTGTTGTATTTTTCAGGGTTTTGTGCATAAATACCACAAAGTAAAGGGGGGCAATCTGTNATGCAATCGTGAATTCTACGAAAGTGATTTTGTTTTGTTATTTTTTTTTATTACTAGGGACTAGTAATATTTAGGTTGGGGGTGTGATTAACCCAAATTAGTGCTTAATTGAATTAGGTTCATAAGTCAATTGTGTTAGTTAAAAGAGTTAAAATGGTCAAGATATACGAAACTAGGGTTAGTGCGTAAATTAGGGTTAAAGCGTTAATTGTTGTATATTTTCAGGGTTTTGTGCATAAATACCACAAAGTAAAGGGGGGCAATCTATCAAAGTCAAATCAGCAAGGGGTTCAAAGAACAATTACATCAAATCAAGCAAGGACGCAAACCACCAAAAATAGTGGAATGCCACCGTCCGTTGGACAGTCAACAAACCGCCTCAAGTCCTTTCTCTTTTCCCATTGGCTGGATTATGCAACAAATGTCCTGATTGGTCCATTCTGCCTCCAACCGCCTCAAGCAGCTCCCTAGCCTTCTATAAATAGCCCTTGCCAGCTTCATTTATGGCATTCCGTTAGAGATTAAGCCAGAGAGAGTGGAGGGAAGTCTAGAGAGTCAGGGATATTCAAAAAGAGTCAAATACAGTCAGTAAGTGAGAGAAAGTCAAAAACAACACGGCGAAGCCCTGTCAAAACACTTCCAGCCAGCTTTTCAGCCTACTTTCTTGCAGAAATTTTTCTTTCTTCTACATTTCTTTTATTCATTTCTACCAGGNTAAAGGGGGGCAATCTATCAAAGTCAAATCAGCAAGGGGTTCAAAGAACAATTACATCAAATCAAGCAAGGACGCAAACCACCAAAAATAGTGGAATGCCACCGTCCGTTGGACAGTCAACAAACCGCCTCAAGTCCTTTCTCTTTTCCCATTGGCTGGATTATGCAACAAATGTCCTGATTGGTCCATTCTGCCTCCAACCGCCTCAAGCAGCTCCCTAGCCTTCTATAAATAGCCCTTGCCAGCTTCATTTATGGCATTCCGTTAGAGATTAAGCCAGAGAGAGTGGAGGGAAGTCTAGAGAGTCAGGGATATTCAAAAAGAGTCAAATACAGTTAGTAAGTGAGAGAAAGTCAAAAACAACACGGCGAAGCCCTGTCAAAACACTTCCAGCCAGCTTTTCAGCTTACTTTCCTGCAGAAATTTTTCTTTCTTCTACATTTCTTTTATTCATTTCTACCAAGAAGGTTGAACTACTCCCACTTTTGTACCCGAATTGGTATTAAGAGTGGTCGTGTTTTAGCTATTCCTCGGGGAAGGAGTGGATGTATTTTATTTTGTATTGTAATGGAATTGTATCGCACCTCTTGCTCGTCTATAGCAATAAGGCGTGAGTAGTCAACTTTTACCCTTCGGTGAAGAGTGAACATATATAAGATATTGTTTAAGTTATGAGAATGCTAATGTTATAACTATACTTTAGTGTTATATATACCTCCCATATTGATAGATGGTTACATTTATAATATGCTCATGGTTATGAACACCGAGCGGCACCTAATGCTACATACCATACTATCTACTAGTTATGTACTTCATGCATGATATAGTGATGTACGTTATTGGGCTTTACGTAATAGTTGATTCATTGGTTATAGACGGGTTAAGTCTCGGCATTGCCAATACTTTTAATTCAATGTATAAACTAAAATCTTGTCATCAATGAATCATCAACCTTTCAGTTGAATAACTATAATATTCCTTCTAAATGGCTTGTCTTCTGGTTTACTATAGTTGTTTAACTGTTGCATAGTACAGATATGTCGATTGAGTAATTCAAGTATTCCTCTTGATGGCTTGCCTTCTGGTTTACTCAAATTATTTGATAGTGCATGAGAATATATCTGCCAACTAACCTAATCAGTTGTTGGATACGGTTCAATATATATCATACCTACCGGTAACTTTCCACTAAAATGGGGGTTAATTGTTGTAAGGTGGCATTTTCAGTACTTAGTCAATATAATGCATATGGAATCCTAGAATTGAAGGGTATCTTTTAATTATTGCATTTCATATCTTTTTAATTATCACATTTCCATAGTTTTAATTAAGTTTGTTTTAATTGTTCTAAGCTCACACCACAAGCTATTTCTATTACATTTTGTATCTGTAACAACTTCACCGTTCTGTTTTGATTTCTAATATTAGCTCAATGTGGGTTCGACCTCAAACTTAAACCGAATATTATATTACAATTTGACCACTTATATTTGGATGTATACCACTATTCAGTCTGAATGTGAGTCAAGTACACTCATCTTTTTGAGAGGTTATAAGAAATCCATGCAAAATCTCTTGAAGTTTGTAAAGAGGTACGAGGACTCATCAGGACAACATGTTAACAAACACAAGAGTTCATTGTATTGTTCTAATAAAATCCCACCAATTAGAAGGAGAATGCTATCACATGCTGCAAATATACCTCTGAAATCTTGTCCCTTTACTTATTTGGGATGTCCCATTATAAGGCGCAAGGTTAAGTTGATTTACTTTGAAGGTTAAGAAGTTTCAGTTGAAACTTGAAGGTTGGTATACTAAGATGATTTCCAACATGGGTAGGATAGTTTTCATTCAGTTAGTCTTGAATTCATTACCAATTCACTTGCTAGCTTCTTTGAATCTGCCCAAAGGAATAATTTCTAAGTTCAATTATGCAATGGTTGCGTTTCTATGGTCTAGAAAATCGGACTCTAGAAGAAGAAATTGGTGCTCTTGGAGTCGCATTACAATGCCAAAGGATGAAGGAGAATTGAGGATAAGGAAATTTGAGGATGTGCAGAGCTCTTTTAGAATGAAGCTGGTATGGAATTTGTTGACCGCTAACTCTTTGTGGTCCAAGGCCTTTGAAACTAAATTCTTAAAGAATAAGCATTTGCTATCTAGTTCAAGCCAAATAAAATTTAAAGGTTACAGGGATTTAGAGCCTTTGTTTGAAACGGTTGTGGATAAAACAGTTATATTGGTGGGTTCTGGATGCTCTGTGGACTTCTGGTGTGATAACTGGATTGGTATAGGTCCTCTTATTCTAAGAAATTTTGTTATGCCTTCAGTTTTTCCTACACTATCTCAACTATTTGTGAATGGTCATTGGGAATTGGAGAGGGTACAACAAATTATGGACACACAGCTTCTAATGGAGGTCATAATTGTTCAGCTAACCTTTAGTGCAAGGGAGAATAAACTTATTTGGCAGCATTCATCATCTGGCCAATTCACTATTAAATCTGCTTGGCATATTATCAGGTCAGAGGGGCAAGTTAATACCCAAGCAGCTGTTATTTGGAAGCAGAATGTTCCACCAAGTGCGAAGTTGATAGGTTTGAAGGTATTGCAGCATCCTTTGCGTATGGACTTAAAGTTTCAGTATAGAGGGGTTTCCTTGGCCAGTAGATGCCCTCTTTGTAATATTGACTATGAAACGAAATGTCATTTGTTTATTCAATGCAAATATGCAAGGGCAGTGTGGAGCAACATCTAATCGCAATTGGGACTCCAATTAAGAGCAAATGAGGCGCCTCTAACAAGGTTTATAAGATTTGTTAGAATATTCAAGCTCTCTTTGCTTAGTCATGCACTATTGAGGGGTACTACACTTTTGATTTTCTGGAAATTATGGAGAGAAAGATGTCGAAGGCTCTTTGAAGATCACAAAACACATTCCTCTACACTTTCTAGAACTATTATGCATTTCCTAAAGTTGCAGGTGTATACTGTTAGACCAAAAGTATTGGATTCAGCTCAGGGGAGGGAGTTACTTCGTTCACTAAATGTGTTTCATCCTTGCACAATTAAAATGCAAGCATGGTGGATAGCTTGGAAACAACCAGCTGCGGATTATCTTAAGCTTAACATTGATGGAGCCTCACGAGGTAATCTATCCAGGTGAATCTGGTGGTGGAGNTTGCACAATTAAAATGCAAGCATGGTGGATAGCTTGGAAACAACCAGCTGCGGATTTTCTTAAGCTTAACATTGATGGAGCCTCACGAGGTAATCTATCCAGGTGAATCTGGTGGTGGGGTTATACTAAGAAACTAAAGTGGACAGACGCTTCTTGCAGGGTCCTATTATTATGGGTGGTGTACCAATATGGAGGCAGAGGTTACAACTTTGCTTAGTGGTCTTTTGTTGTTGCAGCAAGACGGTCTCCAAGATTATTCTATTATTATTGAAACGGACTCTAAACTGCTAGTGGATATGGTTATGCAAAAGATCAAGGCGTCATGGAAATTTTGGAATATTTTGGATAGGATTGCTTCTATTCTTCAAAATTTTAACTTTCAATTCCAGCATACCTATCATCAGGGTAATATAGTTGCTTATTCATTAGCTAAACAAGGAGTCTCTGATAGAGTCTCTAAGATATATGACTCCAATGATGGTCTCCCTATCTCAATAAGACTCCTCATGCAGCAGGATACAAGGAAAATTAGAAATTTGAGGAAGCGTATTATAACTTGATAAGGTTGCNTATATAAAATATTGGGAACAGATCTCTCCCCTGGTGAACTTTGGGTGAGCCGGTTGAGTGGCCAAACACACTGCTCGAAACAGCCTACCAGGAACGGTGGTAATCCGGAACGGTAAAGGCAGATCCTGGGAAAGGAGGAACGATCCTGTACGAGCAAAGGTATTTCCTGGGACAAAAGAGAACAAGTTAGAAGGGCGCCGGAGTGTTTTCCGGCGTATCCCCTCCGACGGTCTAGTCAGTCTTTGAATGAGAGAGAGGAAGGAGAAAACACTGAGAAGGATAGTTCGTAGGATNAGAGGAAGGAGAAAACACTGAGAAGGATATTTCGTAGGATGAGAGTTTTAGATTGCCTCCCTGCTTTGTCTTTTGGGAGGGGTATTTATACCTTAGAAGATCATGGTTGCTGTCAGTGNATAGAGTCTCTAAGATATATGACTCCAATGATGGTCTCCCTATCTCAATAAGACTCCTCATGCAGCAGGATACAAGGAAAATTAGAAATTTGAGGAAGCGTATTATAACTTGATAAGGTTGCTGCTGCANTATGACTCCAATGATGGTCTCCCTATCTCAATAAGACTCCTCATGCAGCAGGATACAAGGAAAATTAGAAATTTGAGGAAGCGTATTATAACTTGATAAGGTTGCTGCTGCATAATTAATGAGGAGTCTCTCTCTCTCTCTCTCTCTCTCTCTCTCTCTCTCTCTCTCTCTCTCGATAATCTTCACAACAGCCTAGGTGTTTCAAACCCAAGCGATAGATTTTTCCAGCTGATCTCCTATCTCAACTGACCTTCTATTTCTACAATCAGCTGGTCTCCTTTAACAGTCCTTTTTCAGCTGGGCTCTCTTCGGCAGCTGCATGTTCCTTGAGTCAATCTACTACACAGCTGCTCCAATGCCAGAGGTTTTGTTTTGCTGGAATCTTCAAGGATAACCCCAACATAGTGGGCTCCACTGCTGCAGATGATAGTCTCCTGCTCAACTGATTTATTCTAAATTTAAAGGCAACTTGCTTAGGATAATTTTCATTTTATTTATTATTGTACTAAGTATGCATTTTTGCTTTCTTTTTAATTTTATTTCTTATTGTAAACANTTTATTTATTATTGTACTAAGTATGCATTTTTGCTTTCTTTTTAATTTTATTTCTTCTTGTAANAATTTAAAGGCAACTTGCTTAGGATAATTTTCATTTTATTTATTATTGTACTAAGTATGCATTTTTGCTTTCTTTTTAATTTTATTTCTTATTGTAAACAACAGGTTGCATCAAGGGGTAAAGTACATACATCACTCCTAGCTAGTCGTAACTTATTTTTTCAATCAATAAAATTTTCTCTTACCGTCGAGGTTCACAAAAAAAATTAAAGAATTTAATGTTAAGTAGTTGAATTTGAATTAAATAAATGTTAATTTAGTGTTGATTTGATGAATTAATGTTCATTCAATGAATTACCATATTACTTTGTTGTTGATTTGATAAATTAAATTTTTATTAGATATTAATTTGATGAATTGAGTGTTAATTGGATGAAATAAATGTTAATTTTGTGTTAATTTAATTAATAAAATATTCATTGGATAAAATTAAATATTAATTTGATGAATTGAATGTTAATTTTGTATTATTTGATAGATTGAATATTAAATTGATTTTAATTTGAAAAATTTAACATTAAATGATTGAATTTAAATGGAAATTTGATAAATTAAATTTTTATTAGATGAAATAAAATGTTAATTCATTGAATTGAATATTAATTAGGTGTTGATTTGATGAATTAAATGTTTATTCAATGAATTTTCATACTACTTTGGTGTTTAATGTTAGGTTAATTTGAAATTGANAATTCATTGAATTGAATATTAATTAGGTGTTGATTTGATGAATTAAATGTTTATTCGATGAATTTTCATACTACTTTGGTGTTTAATGTTAGGTTAATTTGAAATTTAATTCTAGGTTAATTTGATGAATTAAATATTTATTAGATGAAATTTAATGTTAATTTTATGTTGATTTGATGAGTTGAATGCTAAATTGATGAATTGATTATTAATTGGATGAAATTGAATCTTAATTTGATAAAGTTAATAATAAATAGTAAAATTTAAATATTAATTTGATGAATTAATTTTTTATTCAATGAAATGAAATGTAAATTTGTTGAATTAATTGTTAATTTGGTGTTGAATTTATGAATTAAATGTTTATTCAATGAATTTTCACATTACTTTGGTGTTGATTTCATAAATTAAATCTTTATTGGATGTTAATTTGATGAATTTTAATATAAATTGGATGAATTGAATGCTAATTTGGTGTTAATTTGATTAGTTGAATATTAATTGGATGAAATTTAATGTCAATTTAATGGATTATGATAAATTGAATATTAATTGAATGAAATTGGATGTTAATTTGATGAATTTAATACTAAATACTTGAATTTAAATGTTAATTTAATGAATTGAATGTTTATTAGATGAAATTGAATGTTCATTTGGTATAAATTTGACGAATTGAATATTAATTGTATGAAATTATATTGATTTGATTAATTGAATCTTTATTGGATGATTTTGGATATTAATTTGATGAATTAAATGTTAATTGGATGAATTTGAATATAAATTGTATAAATTGAATGTTAATATGGTGTAATTTTAATGGATTGAATGTTAATTGGATGAATTGAATGTTAATCTAGTGTTAATTTGATAAATTGAATTTTAATTTGATGAATTTAATGTTAAATAGTTGAATTTGAATGTTAATTTGATAAATTTTATTGGATAAAATTGAATGTTAATTTGTTGAATTGAATATAAATTTAATATTGATTTGATAATTAAATGTTTGTTGAATAAAATTATGTATTACTTTGGTGTTGATTTGATCAATTAAGTCTTTATTGGAAAATTTTATATTTTAAGAATCGAGTGTCGGGATGAATCTAGATATTTTCCTTTCTCATGACTTCATCACCAAAACAACCTCGTATCCCTCCAAAACCTCCAAATTCTTCCCTTAACATGCAGCAATCATATGTCTCGTTATTCAAACATCAAATCCAGCTCCTACTGATGATGCACAACTAGGAAAACTTGATAAACCTTTAGTCTTTTATGAAGGGGAGCCAGCATTTTACTTCTCAAACGAAGAAATTCTAAAATCTTGTCAATCTCTTCAATACACTTTGATTGGAAAGTGCTCATATGGCAGGCCATCACTAGGAGTCATCAAAGAAGTAATTTGATCTAAATGCAGCCTAAAGGGAGATTTTGAANTGATTGGAAAGTGCTCATATGGCAGGCCATCACTAGGAGTCATCAAAGAAGTAATTTGATCTAAATGCAGCCTAAAGGGAGATTTTGAAGTTGGGTCAATTGACTAGAGGCACATACTCCTACAATTTCAACTGCAAGAAGATTATGTCAAGACATGGCTAATGGATGCAACATTAATAGAGGGCTACCTCTTTAGGTTTTTCAAGTGGTTCTGCGGCTTTGCACCAAGCATAGAGCGTTCAACAGTTCCTCTTTGGATCTCACTTCCTGGTTTGCCACTAAATTTTTTTAAGAAACCTTATCTTGAGTTACTAGTAAAACTTATAGGGAGGGTGCTGGCTTACGACCAAGCCACCCTTTCTTTATCAATACCAGGTATGGCAAGAGTATGCGTGGAGATTAATCTTTCTAGCCGATAACCCAATTAGAATTTGGATTGACATAGGAGATGAAGGAGCTAGGTGGCAGCGAATAATCTATGAGCGCAGTAAGCAGTTCTGCAAGGCTGCAAGAAGCAAGGCCATGGCGAGGAAGATTGTAGAAAAAGAAAAGTGCCTCTGATACAGGAAGAAAAACAAGAAAAGAACCAAGACCTAGGGGCAAGTATGACAGAAAAGGCAATCGAGGAGAAGAATAAGGGCAAACAAGCTCAGCAAAATCAAATCTTAGGGAAAGCACACAAGGAAAATTTGAAAAATAGGAAAGCTCAGCCTCAATCAAAGCAAGCAAATCTGGCTTAGTCATTTAAAGGGATTTGGATATAGCAAACCAAGTCAAAGCAGACTCTAAATTCAAACAATGCAAGGGTAGACGCTTTAGGTAAGCAGACAAAATTGACCCTCGAATCAAGGGAATTGGGGAAAAATGCAACTCCTAGGATTATGGTAACAGGAGACCACTCAGGAAAAGATACCACAGCTCAAAGGCAAGTAATTACTCCATTAACTGCTCAAATTCAGCATGACAACAGTGCATCAATTGACATAGCCGCTGAGGTAGTGGACTTAACAACGACAGAAAAGGAAACATATGTAGATGTTGGCCCCACACAGAAGAACGAAGCAGCAGACTTGAATGCAGGCGAGGTGGAAAAGATAAATGCAGGAGGGGTGGCAAAATCAAATGCAAAGGTAGAAACATCAATGGTCAATGATCCACATTCTATCACACTAAACTGCTTTACTCAAATTTTTGATGTCTCAGATGATGGAATCAGTGAGTCCTTATCCTAGATTCAGGTGTTGTCGGATTATGGTCCTTGTTCTTTGAATAAGTAATTGCAAGTGGATGTTGAAATAGTGGCAGAAGTTCATAAGAAAATTCATAGTCAAGGGGATATTATTCCAAGTATGTCAAGAGAAGAGATTCACAAAGCCTTAAAGCTAAAGGAAATTTATTCCAAAGATGACTATGTTAAAGAGTCTTCTCTCCACGAGCACACAAGGGAATTTGACTCCGATGGTGAGGAGGAGTCTTTGGCTCGAGAAGATGATTTTAATTCTTTTATGACACCGTCTAAAAAATTACTGTCAATACTCAATAAGATTGAGCTAAATAAGAAGAGAAAAGAAAAGGAACTAGATGCTTTGGCGTTGATGTTGAAACCAAACGTGGGTTTCACGGAGGATTTTAAGCCATGGTTTCATGGAGGACTTTCGGGGATATGTCCAATGCACTGTTCACATCACTGTTCTC